AGCTTTTTTATTAATCCATAGAAGAAATGAGAATGATTGATGCTTTATGTCATAAACGACAATTTCGTAAAAACGGACATATTATATTTTTTGAACGAAATTGAAATTGAGTTTTTAAGTCGAAATCCGGTCCAAATTTTTGGCTCCGGGGGGTCCAGTGTTCCTGGAACGCCGGACCCCCTAGATGTATCTGACCTCAAGCAGAGACCAAATACATCTAGGGGGTCTAGCGTTCTGGAAATGTCGGATCCCCACGAGCTAAAAATTTGGACCGGATTTTAGCCCAAAAACTCAATTTCAATTTCGTTCAAAAAATATAATATGTCCGTTTTGACGAAATGGCTGTTCATAAGGATAAATAATAAAAATTGCTCAAGAGAAATTCTAACTTGGCTAATCGGCCCCTTAATGTAAATGGATTGGCCTAAACTAAACACTGTAAAACACAAACGATTTATGATCAACTAAGAGGACTTGATAGTATGGATTGACCAAATGTTATTTGTATTAAGGAAACTCACCTAATGAATATCAATGCTCGTCATCACTACAATAAGCAGGATATGACCTATAAAGCTCATGCTCTTAGACCGGGTAGTGTACGAGTTACCATCTATGATCTAGGTACCACCTGGGTCCAAAGCGGAAATCTTAAATTGGGAGACGGACCCGAAAGAAAGACGATGAGTTTTATACTAGTAATATAAGAATTGAAAATTGTCAGTATTTTATGGGTGTAAGGGTCCAACGATATAGGTGAAAGACAAATATTTTTTGACACTTTCCTTCCCCACCTCCCTGTAGGTTTCCTAATGATCATGGGGGCAAATTTCAATGCCGTGTCTGCACAACATTTTGATTGTTGGCAGATCCTCTCCCCCTATCCGCTATACGTGAAAACCGATGAACTGATTATAGTTTGCCATCGCCATACATTAAATTCCTTCGATTCCTACGGAAGGCTTAATCCTAATTCCAAATTGTTCACATGTTTTAGAAAAGGTCAATCTAGACAAAATACTAAATCTAGAATTGATTTAATATTAGTATCCAAGTAATTACAAAGGAAACTTTAATTAACAGAAATCTCCTCACCTGTGTAGCATCGAGTTCGGGTTCGGTGACCGAACGCGAACGAGCGCCGAAACTCTCCGAACGCGAACATAAAAAAAAAAAACTTCTCCAAAAAATTTGAAAAAAACATATGTGATATAAAATAATAATACAAACAATGTTTTCCTTGGAGGTATGCTCAAATTCGTAAGCAAACTCGAGTTACAAATTATTTTTTTTTTTATTTTTTATTTTTTATTTTTTTGAATATGTTCGGTCGAACACGTTCGGGTGACGTTCGACCGAACACCCGAACATGTTCGGACGTTCGGAAAAGCTCCGAACATGTTCGGTGTGCTACGCAACTCCTCACATAGCTCTTTTCGTGGTTTAGACCATGCAATATGCGTGGCGATCTTCTAGTTTAGAAATGAGAGAAGGTTAACAACAGTCGTGTTTTTCATCAGCACTTAAGGACACAATTTACCACTTCATGATGCAGCCCGCCTAAACAGGTGGTTTTTCGGGTCTTCGGACCTTTCACCACTTCAGGACCATTCATGTCTGAAAATCATGAATGGTCGTGAAGTGGTGAAAGCTCCGAAGACCCTGAAAACCACCTGTTTAGGCAAACTGCATCCTCAAGTGGTGAAGGGTGGTTTTCATGGTCTTCGGACCTTTCACCACTTCAGGACCATTCATGATTTTCAGAATGCCCAAAACTCTCACTTGACCACTTCAAGACACCCTTCACCACTTCAGGATGCAGCCTGCCTAAACATGTGATTTTCAGGGTCTTCGGACCTTTCACCACTTCAGGACCATTCAGGATTTTCAGACTGCCCAAAACTCTCACTTCAAAATTTTCATTCCTGAATTTTTAGCTACCCGATAACCGTTTGTGTTAGAAATAAACCTGACCAAGGAAGAGACTACTATAAACTAAACAAGCCTCAACTTAAAAATGATAGCTTCAGGCAGTATCTCATGGATGTCTGGAACTTCTGGTGAGATGAGAGATCTCTCATCAAGAATGACATTCAATGATTCAATAACGGTCTAGCTTTCTTAGGCTATGAATGCAATGAATATTCTAAATTATAAGCAGCACAAGAGACATTCCAACAAAATACAACTCCAAAAATGCATTCAAGAACCTGAAGATCAAGAAACGGAGTCAGAAGAATAAGAATTCGTTGAACCCTTACCTAGATAAATAAAAAACCTAAGAAATCAACTTTTAATTTGTACAGAATACAGATGGTAGGGGGTGAGAATAAAAATAACACTTAAAAAACATCAGCTGGGAGGACCAATGGATGCAAAATTATTTACAATGGTTAGGCTCAGGATAGAGTGAACAGTCATTGAAGCCCTCAAGGACCCCAAAACCCGCATACGCGTACACTTTTTTTTTTTTTTTTTTTTTTTTTT